AGACAGAGAGACAGAGAGACAGAGAGACAGATAGACAGAGCGACAGAGAGACAGAGAGACAGAGAGACAGATAGACAGAGAAACAGAGAGACAGAGAGACAGAAAGACAGAGAGAGAGAGAGAGAGGAGAGATCGAGCTGGATATATGCGCGATCGAGTATACTAAGTAGAGAAAAATAAAAGAAATCCATAGCACGAGAAATAAATACATGAGAAAATACATTGTACAGGATTACGCAAACTGTCAGAGAAACTAAGTGACATTTAAAAAAGAAAATGCAAAATATAAAGACTATAAAGGATCCTGGAGGTGTTGAGGGAGGGAGATAGGAGGACAGGGGAGGGAGGTGGGATGAGAGGGGGAGGGAGGCGGGAGGAAAACAACCCCCTGTACCCCCTCATCTATAATAGCCATGTATCTACAGAGCACGTGACGTATATCATATATATACGTGCTCTGTTATCTATCTGCTGAGTTCAGTAATAGTTCACTATATAGTTATATATATATAGTTATAGTTATAGCAGAGCACTTAAATCAACTTAATCGTTGATTTAAGTGCTTTGGTTATAGTTGACTATATGGTTCAGTGGAAAGGAAAAATTAGTAGCTCTGAGGCTTTTAGTAGCTTGCATCTTGTATCTTGTATCTTTGGGTCCCTCTCTTGTATTTCACAAGGCACTGATTCTCTTGGAATGTGCGGGGAAATCCTGTAGATAAGGAAATTCTGTCTACAAGTTAGCATTAATCATTTTACTTTCTCTAATTGATAATGCCTTTCTAACATATTCTAGTGCTGGTTTTAGTATTTTTGGGTCATCACTTTTCCAATATTCTACTCGTTCCCCTTTATTATACCCTCTATATACCTTACACGAGTATAAATGTTCCAAATTTTCCTCCTTCCTTCCCTTTCCTTTCCTCCTTCTTTTCCTCTTTCCTTTTCCTTCTTTCTCCAAATTTTTTTCCTTTCGTCACGCAAATCACATATATCATTACTGTAGTTATTTTTAAAATAACTTTTTAAGTTAATCATGCACGTCTTACACCTAAACACAAGGCATGCATCATCAAATGACAGTTTTGTCATATATAGAGCTATTTTGTCATAGCTTTCGATATTTATCATTTTCATTTTTGTTTTCTCACCAGACCTCATGTGGTATCTCTCATAATTACTGTTTTAAAAATAGTCTCCTTCATATATTTTTTCCATTCTTTCTTATGTTGCGAACCAATAGTTATAAGTGACATACTTATGTCATACTCCTTCAAGATTTCTAAAGCCTCATTTGCCCAATTACTTCCAATTTCTTTAATTTATTCTAAAAATACTCTTTTCATTAATCTATCATTTTCTAACTTAATAATGTATTGCAATAACATTAACTTTTTATAACTTATTCTATCTTTTATTGGTATTATATTATTATATTATTATATTATATATATTATATTATATATTATTTTATTAGTGCCGCTAGTGGTGTCTTGCTGTGCGCTTGGAGTATCCAATTCTTAAACATTCATTTTGGAAATTTTTTTCTACCATTTTTTTGCCAATATTTACCAATAGCTTGCGCGCATGCGCTAGCGGTCCAAATTCTACGATACACACTCCCTCTATCAATGGGATTAAATTTTCAAGATGGCTGCCGGAGAAGAGAAAATCATGTTTCCTTCTGGTGGTTCTTCGACAATATGTGATCAACAAGTAATAGTAAGGATGATTTTTGACGTTACTGACATATTTGTCACCATACAACATGGCGAACATGATTATAGTATGCGTGATGATTAAATTGGGGGTTTATTCGTATGTCCTTGGAATTTTCTAAAACTAAAACAAAATCAAAATAATTAGGGATTTAGGCCAATGATTCGTATTATTAGGCCCCTACTTAGTAAATTTAGGTATAAACTTTTTGGACTTGCGTTATGTTAATGCATTTGAATATAGCATTTCTGTTGCACTTGTACACTAAATAGGATCATTTAAATCCGTGGTAATTCTTTATCGTAACTAACTAAGTAGGCCTACCATTCGCGCATTCCTGTGTATTTCGTTCAAGACCCAAGTCCTCGGGTAGCAACTGCATTCGTTATCATGTTGGCAGGCCATATTTGCGTTATCGTAGTCTAGGCAAGGTGTTATGCTCTTCCTTCCCAGTTGATTCACTTATATTTATACTGCAAGTGCTTGACGTCATGTTTTTTTATTATACATTTTTGGCCATTTGCCAACGACTACTGACTAGTAATAGTAGTGTCAGTGAACCACATTGAGTCATGTGACATTTTTGGTTGAAAACTGGTATTGACGGGTTGCTTGGAAAACATTTACTCTATATGTCGAGAGAAGCCAACATGCTCATTGTTGGCGTGTTTAACTATTCTTGCAAGCAGAGCTGGCAGAATCATTTCCAACAAGGGACGTTAGCACAAGCTTTGCGGTCACACTGGAAAAAGCAAGTTCCATTAATCTGCAGTCCATTATATTTACCTGGAAATCAGCCATTGGAAGAAGATGAAACTAGGTTAGTCTTTTTTTAAAGTTATATAAAACATTAGAACTAATGTCAGTAATTTATTCTGGGATAAAAATAGGTAAGATCATGTGAATGAATTTGATCTAGTGAATAGACTTCGGAGAAAGAGATCTAATGTCTGTGTTGCAATGATTTTATCATTGGAGATTTGTCACTAGTGTGTAGTTACCAGATTGTTCTTTCTTGCTTTAATATGTATTTAACAACTTTTCAGAAAATCCCTACTATTTCCCCTGGAGTTATTTATTTGTGGTGGCGAGCCTCAGGAAGTGTTCAGCCAGCTCAAAAATCTGGACAACCCTCGACAGTTGTGTGGCAAGGTGTTTAAAGTGGGAGAACCAACATATTCCTGCAGGTAATTAATCCCCCCTTCTCCGATCAAAGATAATATTGTAGTATAGATCTGTAAATTGGCAATATATGAAATTGAAGTGCTGACGTGTAGCGGGGTGTTGTAGTTATGATAGAGGTGTCATGATGATTGTCGTAATGTTTATACACTGTGTTACCTATGTCTACATCTCGATAGATGTTTCAGTCTATAAAAAAACTTGTGTCGCGTAACTACCTGCACTAGTTTTGTTGGACTGTTTGAAAATTCTATTCTCGCAAATCTCAGGATAGCAGGGCCGCATTTGGTGTTGCACATGCACAAACTCATAATAATTTTAATTCTGAAGTAATCGGTAATATGCAGGGATGAGATTCTTCCGCGGATTTGACAGCCCCAGGGGTCGTTTTTGTGAAACGTCTAAATTCGTTGAGAAAATTGGGAGGGGGGTAACAATGTAACAATTTAAATTATATACCCTCAACAGCACCTGACTGTAGACTGTAGAGTGTAGACAGTAGACTGACAGCGAAGTATACAGTGTATCTGTTTTTGCGTACCAGAAAAGAAAATCCTCGTTCACGGGCTGCAGTAGAGGGGCAGACATTTGAGGTAGCTGATCACGTAACGACCATGCCTGGCCTGGGGGCCGGGTTTACATGTTGCTGTTGCGCATGTGTGTTGCATGACTATGCACTGATTGTTTCGCATTCGCATTGTGTTTTTTCATTCAAATCTTCGTCGCAGCAAAGGCAGCTTATGTCTTGAGTAAATTTTCAGCCCCCTGATTTCCTATTCATAGTTCGTTTGTTCCTTTTGACAACTTGAAAAGGTGATTCAAGAGTCTCCTATAATGTGTTCAGAATAGCTTAGAATGCACCAAATTGCACCATTCTTTAAAAAAAATTCTGACCTACGGTCCTCGCATTGCTCACTCCTCTGTGTGTAATTTAAATTTCAGCTGAAAATTTAATTAACCAATCTTATCCCTGAATATGTATGCTGACAGGTGACACTTAATTTAGTCTTCATTTATTTATTTCTCGATTTATGATATATATGATCTGTGAGATGATCCTTTTAAACGCGCAAGTATAGAGAAGTGGTTGGGCCACTATCGAGACCTGTGGGTGAAGAGGCTGGCACGTGCCAGTGTGTACATGCTTATTTGTGCTTTTAAACACTCGTAACGATTTTGCAATATGCAGCTGTTAGTAATGGGATAGTTGTGGGCATGGGAATTGGCAGTCAGTATTTATAATATTCATTTCTATTTGGCTGATGATTAGATAGCGTACCCGAAATGTTTATCACTAGGAGTAGGAGGCTTCTGGAATACTGTGTGTGTATGAATGCAGAGGGGTCGAAACTCCCCCATTGGATTTAAACTAGAATATTGTATCATGTAAAAGTTATTCTGGTCATCTAACATTTGCAGGGGTCCAATGTGCATATTATGCTATGTAAACATCACAGGCAGTGCCATTAAATTTTCATCAGTGGCCTTGGTCTGTTTCTTAGAATCTTTAAATGCTTCCAGGCGTTTTTATGGCTATCATCTTATTTGATATCTTCAGTGGATGAGGCCTGAAGTTATCAAGAGTAGAATAAAATTGTTAAAGATTGACTAAACTTTTTTCATCTGCTATCAGTTATTTTATAGGCATGCCAAATATATTTGGGAAGAAATTGTTGCATTAAATCAAAATTCCATCAATAAAATAAAATCGACTTGTGTTCATATTACCATTCAGTAATTGCTGAATGTGCATACCTTATATATATTTTAAATTTGTGTGGATGAAATTTTAATTCTATAGAACATTTTATATGAGATGAAAGCTGACATGAATGCTGCTGTAGGTGCTATCGACAAAAATATTTTCTACAGAAGCAGGTTTCCACTCCTCCATATTTTGCATTACTTCTTGTAGACTGTAGAGTATTTGATCATTAAGAAGGGTTGATTGAATAATTTCTTTTGCATGCTTACTATTAACATAAGAACATTGAGAGTTTATTGCCAGTTGTTTCCAATCTAGATAGGCCTACATTAGAACAAGAGCACATAATCTGTTTTATTTAGACTGTTTTGTAAACTACAGTGCACAGTTTAAGTGCTCCTGATTGGAAGTTGGGCTTGTCTACTCGGTTGTAATTTAGCAGCCGTGTTGTTTTCCTTGTGGGTATAATAGGTTTGTAGTATTCCCTAACACTATGAAATGGAAATACTCTAGTGTGCCACTGTGGTGGTAATTTCATATGGCCGTGTTGTGGTATGGATGGCAATGAATAGGTTTGGACGGCCACATTTTGACACATGTACAGCTGTGTACAGTTTATATTTGCTAATATCAGTGGCCTAGGCAGGTCACCAACAATGACACTCATGTCTCATCAGTGCTTTATACCCTCTAGGCATAATAATTAATATCCATACTTGCTGTTCTAATTATAAGTGAAGTGATTCGATTTTACATGTGTATATTGTATTTTCAATGTGTATACATGCATTTATCAGTTGAGGTCTTGCATTCTCAGTGTATATAAAGGTACAGAAAAATTTGCATGATAATAATAATAATAATAATAGTAATAATAAAAAGGTGACATTGTGGTAATGGTGCTACCCAGATATTTGGAAATGCATGTTATTTATGGATGAGGTTGTACCAATTGGAGCCAATTATGTGTGTCATGAGTGGCCCCAATTCACAGGTAAACATGATCAGTTCAGATACCTATACAGGGTTCTCCAAGCTTTTAAATGATAGCATGGGGGATTAATGGAATAAAAATACCAAAATGTAGGGGTGAACTTGCTGGTTTGCTGGTTCCAAATCGAGTTCACCTCTCATGAATAAATAAATTTTTTTTTGTCACCATTGACAATGGCAGGAGTGGTCGGTAAGTGTACCAGTCTACTCTACCTCGTGTTAGACTGGGTTACCTGCCCCGTAATAATGCCGTTGGAAATTAATTAACGATTTAATTCACGATTAAGATTTCTTGATGAGCTAGAAAACACTAGGATTTGAAGTATGAAAATGGACATTATTGTGCCAGCTAGCCTACACCAGTTGGTTGGGATTGATTGTCAGTTCAGATGCAAAATATTTAAAGCAAAAGGTTATACACCATAGATTAATTTTGGTATAGGGGATATATGTATATATAGGGGGGGGGGTAATATGGGATAGGGATAAGGTGACTGTTTGTTCTTGTGTGGGACTGCCGTACCCGTAGCATCGGGACCAACGTGTATTAATAAATTGTTTGAACTTCTCGTGTGTACACCAGCATGGCGGCTATGATATTTAGCGTGGCGGATGCATTTTAGGATGGCGGGGCTCGACGATAGCCTGGCGGGCCGCCAGGCTATAAGTGCCCTTGGAGAACCCTGCTATACAATATATACATCATATATAAATACATCAAGCTGTGAAAGCACAGCATGACTGTTTTGGGATTGTCAAACGTAAACACTGCTGTAAATTAATGCATGCAGAGGATTTAAGCGATGTCACAAATTAGCTTCAGCTTTGAGGGAATGTCAGACTGACATGGGTTAAAGCCCTTGGAAGAACCCTGGTGTTTGAAGGTATTTTATGCATATTGGTAATTGGGTTGCATTCAGGGTAAAAAATACACGGCTCTTCAAACTTCCGAAATCGCTCCCGTGAGGCTCAAAATAGCTCCCGTAAAATTTTGGACGAGAGGTATATTTTCCACAGACTTGAAAAAGAGCTCCCGTGAAAAAAAAGTAATTTTTTCCGTGGTTACATTAGTTTGTCTTGTCTTTTAGGGACTGTGGTATGGACCCTACTTGCGTCCTATGCATCGAATGCTTTCAGAAAAGTACCCACAAGACACACAGATACAAGGTGAGTTTCTTTTAATTATTGTATTCCCTACGACGAAGTCGGCGGTAATACTATGGTTTCATGTCTGTCCAGTCGCTGCCGCCGCCGCAGACACTTTCCCTTCCGCTCTATAACTCGGGCCCCCAATTTACCTAGCGCGACCAAACTTGGTCTACTTACATATCTTGGGGAGAAGGTGTGCCGTGTACCAAAACCAGGACACTGCGACTTTTATTTGACTTTGACCTTAATCATATTTCCTTTCCGCTCTATAACTCGGCCACTAATTGACCTAGCACGACCAAACTTGGTATACTTATTACTTACACATCTTGGGGAGAAGGTGTGTCGCGTACCAAAACCAGGTCACTGCGCAGGGTTAGACACTAACCATTTTAGTTCACTAGTCCACAGGACTAGTAAAAGAAAAAATGTACTAGTCCTTCCAAGATTCTACTAGTCCTGCCGAAGGACTCTTACTAGGCGCAAAGCGATGAGCATTGTGATTTGCGGGGAGGTAGGTGGGATTGGCGGGTGGTCGGCACGGATCCATCCATAGCTGCAGCGAAGAGTCCGCGCAATTTTAGTGCGGGACACAGAGGGTAGACATTTGGACGTGAAACAGTGTTCACTTGTTATAAAAACTGTTACCGAGTAATCTGTCGTAACCGAGCTGTGTCACCCGCGAAATCACAGAAAGACTGTCGAAATTCTGACATTCGCGAACCTTGCCCAGTAATGGAAACGGCTGTCAGAATCAGAAACACTACCGGCGCTCTTCGCGCCCCAACGCTGCAACGTTTTGCAACGTTCCAATGGCGAGGCTCGTACGGCAAGTTCGAAAGCAGTGCGCCGCCTGCCCGCCGCCTATAGCCCATAGACTGGCACTCTCTCGCCACTCTCGCGCTTAGCTTAGTACACTCAATGGCTAATCGAGGTGGGAGCGAGTCGTAGTCTTATATAGCCTTTGCACCTCGCACCTTCTTGAAAGAGAGTAGGCCTATACTAGAAACATTAACAATTTCGTAGTAAATATATTTCGTATTTAGTTAGCATTATATTTTATTGAAACGCTTCAGTGCCTGGTGAGTATAGCCTAGGGGTATTCTAACCTAGCAAAGAGCGTTTCTTGTAGTCGTAGTAGTCTAGTAGTACTAGTGGTTCAAGGATAGAGAACATGGCTCCCAATATTTATATGGGCCCCAATGTATGGCATGGGCAATAAAACCAATGTCATTACTTCATCATATAAATATAATATTATATCAATATATAGGTTAGGGTTATGGTTAGGGTTCGTCATTATTAGTAAGTTAATTACTTAGTAGTACTTAGTAGTAATTATTCTAACGATGTACTTCACCAACCGCGTGCCGTGCGTAAAGGTTGCGTTTGCCGTTTTTGCATATATTCCATCGTACCAGCCACTGCAGCAACATCCAAGAGACACTTGGATTACATTCGCACACCTCTACGGCTACGAATACTTGTATTACTACAAGTACATGTTACAATAATTTACTACTAAGTTCTACTACTAGTACTTAGTAGTAGTAGTACTACTAAGTTACCAGCACTATGACAGTACTAGTACTAGTAACTACCAGGACCTACCGTGCCTGCCGTACGGCCTACTGCTCTGCTATATATATACATGCTTGAAGTCTGACGTCATGATGCGAAACATCACAGCAAGGGGTAATAACAGACGCTCAGACATACATCAGTGTAAACACATAAATCAGTCAGGTCTGCCGTGCTCAAAAGACTGGTACGGACGTTAATTCGGGCAAGTCTCTTTCGCTACACTAAAGTTAGTGGGCGTGCCAAACTCTGCCCGCGGGCCAGTCTAAAGAAAATTTCTTGGCAAAATCCCTCGAAGAGAGCCTCGTCACGCCATCTATGGGCCGCGATATCTACAAGAATAAGTTCAGGCGTGGAATTAAATAAAATTCGAAATCGCGCTTTTCTAGAAAATAAAACCTAACGCGCCAACCAAAACAAGTAGCAATAACGGACCATTGGATTTATTCTCGCCCTACGTGCAACAGTCGAAAGCTTCTGCAATCAGCAGAACTCCTCAATTCACCGATTACAGCCCATTTTACATAACCGTAAAAGTGATATTGGCAGAGGCAGCGTATTCGTTCAAAAGGCGCCAACAGGTGGCGCGAAGCGCGCTTCGCGCGGATCCGGGCTGCAGACTGTCTAGGTCAGTGGTAAAAACACACTATAAAAAGAATCTTACTGTATAATACTGTGCTGCACGGAAACAGTACATAATGGCAATGTATGCAAAGTGGAATAAGGGATGGAAGTGCAATGTAGCAAAAGGTAAATATGGCCAAGGTCAATTTCAAGGTCAAATAAAGGTCGCAGTGACCTGGTTTTGGTACGCGACACACCTTCTCCCCAAGATGTGTAAGTAATAAGTATACCAAGTTTGGTCGTGCTAGGTCAATTAGTGGCCGAGTTATAGAGCGGAAAGGAATATGATTTGATTAGGTCAAAGTCAAATAAAAGTCGCAGGTGTCCTGGTTTTAGTACACGGCACACCTTCTCCCCAAGATATGTAAGTAGACCAAGTTTGGTCGCGCTAAGCGGTAAATCGGGGGGCCGAGTATAGAGCGGAAGGGAAAGTGTCTGCGGCGGCGGGCAGCGACTGGGACAGACATGAAACCTAGTATTACGCCGACTTGTCGTAGGGGAATACAATAATTAAAAGAAACTCACCTTGTAGTCGGTGTGTCTTGTGGGTACTTTTCTGAAAGCATTCGATGCATAGGACGCAAGTAGGGTCCATACCACAGTCCCTAAAAGACAAGACAAAACTAATGTAACCACGCGAAAAAATTACTTTTTTTTTCACGGGAGCTCTTTTTTCAAAGTCTGTGAAAATATACCTCTCGTCCAAATTTTTAGCGGGAGCTATTTTGAGCTCACAGGAGCGATTTCGGAAGTTTGAAGAGCCCGTGTATTTTTTCCCTGAATGCAACCCAATTACCAATATGCATAAAATACCTTCAAACACCCAGCGGTTCTTCCAAGGGCTTAACCATGTCAGTCTGACATTCCCTCAAAGCTGAAGCTAAATTGTGACTATCGCTTTAAATCCTCTGCATGCATTAATTTACAGCCAGTGTTACGTTTGACAATTCCCAAAACAGTCATCTCTCCTGTGCTTCACAGTTGATTGTATTATATGTATGCATGTATATTTTGTTTTAGCAGCGTTCTCAAGGGCACTATACGCTGCGGCCCGCCAGGGCTATCGTCGAGCCCCGCCATCCTAAAATCGCATCCGCCACTGCCCAAATATCATAGCCGCCATGCTGGTTGTACACACGCAGAAGCGTTCAAACAATTTATTAATACACGTGGTCCGATGCTACGGGTACGGCAGTCCCCACTACAAGAACAAACAGTCACCTTATCCCTATCCCATATTACCCCCCCCCCCCCCTATATATACATATATCCCCATATACCAAATAATGCTTGGTGATAACCTTTTGCTTTTATAATTCTTGCATTGATCACTGACAGATCAATCCCAACCAACTGTGTAGTGGCATAGCGGCACAATAATGTCCATTTGAACTTCAAATCCTAGGTGTTCTTCTAAGCTGCATCAAGAAATCTTAATCAGCTGAATTTAATCGTTAATTATATTTTCAACGGCATTCATTACGGGGCAGGTAACACCATCTAAACCACGGTAGAGTAGACTAGTACACTTACCGACCACTCTTGCATTGTCAATCGTGAGCAAAAAAAATTTATTACTCCATCGCACCGACTGAAACTCGATTGCGAACAAGCAAACAGCACAAGTTCACGCCTACATTTTGGGTTAATTTTATTCCATTAATCCCCCAGTGCTCATCATTTAAAAGCTTGGAGGAACCTGTATCAGGTATCTGAACTGAATCATGTTTACCTGTGAATTGCGGGCCACTGCTGGACACACATAATTGGCTCCAATTGGTTACACACCTCATCCATAAATTAACATGCAATTTCCAAATATCTGGGTGCACCCATTACCACAATGTCACCTTTTTATTTATTACTATTATTTTCATATTATTATCATGACCAAACAATTTTTCTGTACCTTTAATACAACTGAGAATGCAAGACCTCAACTGATAAATGCATGTATACACATTGAAAAATACAATATTACACATGCTAAAAATCGAATCACTTCATGATAATATAGAACAGCAAGGATGGTATTAATTATTGTATTGCCTAGAGGGTATAAGCACTGATGAGAACATGAAGTGTCAGTTGTTGGTGACCTGCCCTATGGCCACTGATATGGAGCAACTATAAACTGCTACATCTTT